AAAATCAACATTCGCTTGCGACATTTACGATACGAGCGTTATCGTAAAGAGTTACGACTTTGCAGGACTTTTTTGCACACTTTTGAGGATAAAACATTCCTTTGCTTGACTTTGAACCATTACCTAGCTTTTTTTTTTACAAAATGTCGGTCCATTTTGCAGGTTATTTATTGTAATTGTCTGTACCTAAGCCTCTCACACGATTTTTCTCTCATCATGATTCATCTCAAATGGTGGCTGCATATTGGCTCGAATCGTTTGTTTTTAAAATTGCGCTTGCCCCCTAGCAATCTCCGAGGTGAGGTTCTATCACTAAAAGTGTCAGTGCAGATACTCCTTCAATGTATTTCCTTTAATCATAAGTTGTAAAAAGCACAGCAGAAGACATCCGCGAATGGTATGATAACAGAATCTAGCTGGCGTTGTTTAGTTCCTTTTACACCCAAGTTTTCTAATTTTCCCTTAATTTTCCCCTTTTATCCTTGACGCAAGTTCTTCCTTCTATGCCCGAATCTTTGTGCCTTCCTGAAGCACCTGCGAATGACAGCGCTCTCGTTGCCAACATCTTGAACTAACAGCTGCCCGGGCGTTGTCAAATTCCTTTACGCAACCAACAAACTCACCCGTTTAATGAACCTCCAGAGCGATCCAGGGTGACATTCAATCTGTGCTGCCTACTTCATTATTTCCTTTTACTGTTTCTATGTGTTTTTCTTAAATCAGAATAAAGCCCTTTTTCACTACCAGGAATTTGATGAAGTATGTCTATAAATAAAGGTGTATTTTAAATAAAAAATAAAATAAAATAAAAAAAAAATTCCGACATCCCAAAGAATATTCCCAACAATTATTCCTGAGAATTCCTTTTTTTCTGCTGGTTATTAATTGGCCTGTATTTCGTCAGGAACCTGCACAGAAGTTATTGATTTTCCTTAGAGATTAAGGCATTAGACATGTCCTCGCTCTAGGCTTTTCAAAGTGAAGCATAAGATTCAAACTTCAACTGTAAAAACTGCAGCTGGAGAGCTCCTTTTGGCTGAAACTTCATTTTTGTGCGACAAATCTCTCATTTAATACAACCCTTCGTTGAGAAATCTAGAGGGAAGTAGGTACTTCCAACAGGCCTTCCTTACCTCTAGTCTGGATTTTTGAAGTTCAATTTTTTATACAGCTATGTTACCCTCAAATGCCAGGAATCCAATTACTTCGGTATCGGTGCCCTTGCGTACGTAACTCTAAAAGATAGTCGCACTTTACTGGCCTAGCAAGAAAAGGCGCCTAATTTTATTTGCTCCAAACATGTCGAAAACGTATCCATAACCGGTTATATTAGTGATTGGATCTGAGGCAAATTATTGCCGTCGTTTTGATAGTCTGGAATAATTTTATCATTCTTAAAATCATTGAAAAGAAGCAATTTTTCCAGTTAGCGTGTACCTTAGGTCGCTTTTGCCCATAAATAATTCGAAACGGAACTGACGCCCTTCAAATTCCGCTGACAAGTGAAAATGTATCAAATGCCATTCATGTTTCGATCAAAAGTGAATAGAGGTTTGTTTCCTCTCCATTCTTTAAAGTCTCCGTTTGAGTTTCAGTCAGTTTATTATATACATTTAATCCGCTCCAATAATTTTTCCAAGGCTCAGCAACAACCTTTTTAATGACCAAGTACCTTGAAATACTTTTTTCTGCGGAATTAATTAAATACAATCGCAAAAAGAAATACTCTCGGAAAAGATGGAGTAAATTAAGGTCGAAAAGTAAATTAGAGTACATTAAGTTCAGGGGAAAATCCCATGGTGAATGTTATTTTTCCTCCCTCCAGGAGTCCCTGCGTTGTTGCTGTTTTGAAGAAATTACGGTGAGTTTTATCATTCGATCACTGTGAGTGTTGGCTTTTTGGAGGATCTTAATTTTTGTGAAAAAGGTTTCGTTAAAGGATGGGATTGCCGCCTTTACCACTAAATGATGTCACAGAATCAAAGAAAGTATCTTATTTATTTAGCAACTCCAAATCGTGCACTTTTGAATTTAAAGTCAGACCAATTATATTACTAAAAGAATTTAAAGAAGATAAAATAATATCTTTTTACTATTAGTATCAAAAGAATTAATATGAAATATTGATCCTAGCATTTAGAGCTTCATCGATCTCCCTGAAATATTTGAAAGGAAGCCACTTTCCTTTCTTAATGAGAGGATCTCGCAATCCATGAACGATAGTTGGATTAAATTTTACAATTAGGAATTACAAATCTTGGCTCAGTTTGGAAAGAACGCATGTACCATTAGTTTCCCTTTGCTTTTAAGTGTTTTTACGGATGAGCCAGAAATTTTAGTTCTAATTGCGAAATGAAGTCTAATTCTGGTAAGATACCCAAAACTTATTTTTCAATATATGCAATTTTTTTTTTTTTTTTTTTTTTTTTTTTTTTTTTTTTTACTTTATTTAATTTCGAAATCAAGTGTTTAACAATTAAGGAGCTTGGCGGACAAAGCGTATTAGTGTAGTTTTTAAAAAAAAATCGAGATATTCTTGAACTCAACTGAAACTAGTTTGAAAGTGTATTCTGTAAAAAATCACGCCCAAAATCCAACTGTAAAGCAGCAAAAAAAAAGTGATTTTAAACTTCCTTTCTACCACGAGGCTCCGTGTGATTTTGAAAATTAAAACACGTATTTAACGTAAATACGTGTTTAACGTTTTTCTCGAAATCCCAAAAACTGCACTTCAGCGCATTATTCTTCAAAGCCCTCAATTACAAAGGAAGCCCATTGTGGCAAGATTAAAAGTGATATTTTTAACGCGATCTGGCAGCCTCGAAAACTGCGAATACACAAAAGGTAAATACGGCTTTAAGAGGTATGCTGAGTTTTCCCTCTCTGCTACAACCCTCTGACCCTTACTATCTCAGTTTTTTTCATTCCTCGAGTGCCCTCATGGGGCAATCGAACAGGGAACCGCCGATTTTGAGAGCAATTATAAAGCTTACGTTTACCTCAACAGCATTAATTGGAAAACCCACAGACAGCCCACAGCTCTCTCAAACTTTTTGCCTTTCAGAAATATTTAATCTCGTTTTTCGGGGTTAGAGGACTGAGCGACTAAAACCTAAAACTCCAAAACCATATTTATAGCTAAATTCTGATTATGTGCATAGGCGCCTACAAACCTAACTGGATACTTCACGCATTGCGCAATGCGTGAAGTATCCCTGGTTGCTTTGTAGGCGTCAGCGCGCGTTTCGTGCGGCAGCACGTCGCTGAAGGATCCACTAAGTGAGATTTTCTGGTCAGAAACGCTCCCACGTCGTATCAGTTGAAATTTTTCACATTTATTTATTTAACAAGGCGGTAAAATAATGCCGGGTCTAACACTGGGTCGCTATAGTTTTAAAGATCTCGAGATTGCCCTTACATTTTTATAAATTGTTCAAAAAGATTCAGGGGCTTTGAAGGTAGCCCAGATTCATCATTGCGCATTCATACCATACTTTCCCCTTTAGCCAAGAACATCCCATAACCGTGGCATATGACACCAAAACACATCATACTTGATCAGGAAAATTCGCTGAAAGGCGGCCGCCGCTACTGAATTCATTAAACATGAACACGTGGATTCAAGATGACAACACGGCATCCCGAGCAACTATTTTAACACCTGGGTCACTGACATTGCATACTCACCCATTTGAAGGCGATATTTAGCCCTGCTCTCTTTGCGTTCGAACACAAGCATTTTTGCACTCCTTTGCAAAGAGAGTAGGCATACTGGGCCCCACGGCTACCTTTAAGAACAAAAAAAATGGCGGCGACACTGAATGGAAAAGAGCGGTTGCTCATTATCATCGGCTTCATTTGCTGCCAACCTTGGTAGTTACAATTCTAGGCTAAAAATGTGTTTTTTAATGTAAAAATTGATTTCAAGCTTCTTCTTCTTCTTCTACCTTTTGAATAGGGCCGTGACCCTGTTTGTCTAGCCTCTAAATTAATAAATAAATATGACAAATATAATAATAAACAAATAAATAAATATGAATAATTAAAAATAAATACAGGGTTATCCACCTACCAGCCTACCAGGTATACCTACCACCCCTGTAACTCCCTTCCCAATTGAGATAGAAGTTCGAAACTTTGGGAATGTTCCTCGGTTTAAGGCAGCAACTTTTTGGTCCCTCCAAAATTTCGGGGTGCGCCCCCCCCCCCTCCAAGGGGGGCGGGGGCCAACTTTTTTTTTTCAAAGCCTCAGAATCCTAAATTAATGTTTCCCGCGATGCAAGCAAATACATAAGACATCATTTTTTGCCACTGTGAATTATTTGCATGCAACGTTCGCCTTTATTTGATTCGGTAACATTTGCTACTTATGAGCCTTTGTAACTTGCCAACCCCACGCTAACTCATTTTTCTTTTACTTTGTTTCAGGTATGTTCCCAGATAATACCGATCTCGAGGACGTAAATCCGTAAGTCCGTGTGATTTTTAATAGTGTGTTGTTTTATTCTTGCAAAATTTTCCTTTCAGGTTTGTTTTTCCTTCAGAACTATCTCCTCCCTCCTCACTAAAAAAATTACTGGTGTAGCAAGGAATTATCATATTACTTCAGAAGGTTGCATTAAACAACCACTTAAAGATGCGATTTTAACGGTATAATTTTCTTTTCTTCATTTTTTTAGCAAAAAATTAGACTTTCAAAACACACAGCCTCCACTTTAAATGAGCTCTCTGTATGTGACAATGTGACATTGCCTAGAAAAAAGTCAAATACCTGTTTGTAGCGGCAAATTGGCGATTTTTAAAAGTTGACACTACTATTTTTCCTCCATTTACATGTATGTAAAATAATCGATTCTTGGCGAGACAGCTTGCCTCACCTAAAATCGATATTTTCAATGGATTTAAAAGAGGAAAAGACGTGTTGTTAATCTGCAAAATCACCACTGCCCATTTAACTAACAATACGTAGGACGTAGCAGGCAGGAAAATGAATAAGAAGGTTCAGGAGACAGATGTATATAATCTCTAAAAGTACAAGCATAACAAAATTCGGAATTTTGATCTACGGTGTCATGATTCACTAGATGAACTCCAAATTTTCGAGTGAGATAGCTTCATTTCTTTCTCTTTGTTTTAGATTTTTATACCGTCTCCGTTTTTATCCGGGATTTTTTATTTTTCAATTTTCAACTTCCTCCTCTTCATTCGGTATTTCGGCTGAGCTGTCCTCTAATGCCTCGAAATCTTCCGAGTCCTCATCAGCTACGCCATCCTCGTAACTCTTCTTTGTATCTGGCACGGCGGCCCAAACTTCGTCTTCCAACCTGATCCTCGGGTGGTTTCTTCTCATTTTGACCAGACCGTGGTCACCCCAGTAATCGTTCCAGGAGTTCATCACCAACCAGTAGGGAACTTTCTTCTCCACCCCCCAGCCGAGCAATTTCACCGCGTGACCACCGATTGGCTGAGACTTGGGGCTTGGCTCATAGACCCCTGCAACACAAATTGGACAATGAGTTAGACGCCTAGAATCGGGTCTCTTTTCTTGAAATCTTATTTCTAATGCGTGGAACTAGTTCTGAAATTTAGTCTATTTAATTTTTCCCCTCTCCTTTGGTTTTCCAAAAAAGCCGGGAGTTTGGATGACACAAAAAACAATGTCTTCTTACACGCGATTGAATTTTGAAAGTACAAATTTTATTGCGCCAGTCTAAAAGAAATTGATGGGAAAACATACATCGCGGTGCTTAAAATTGTGTGCCCTGTTCATTGGTGTATATTACGACAGGCAATTATCTGAACCATTTTCAAAAAATCCAGTTACTAGTAATCAGTGCTCGATATCAGTGGCGTGGCGTGCTTTGCGATATAGATTGATCTGTCATTGAGACCTATGGGGGAGGATCAATAGACAGGGCGTTCGAAACGAACATCTCAATAATCGATTCTTTACCATAACATCAATGGGGTAATATCGATAATCGATCATTAACGCCTCACCACTGCTCGATGTTTGAAAAATATTCCTATTTGACCGGCTGTGACTTACCAGATTTGTAGCTGGGAAAGTCATCCATAACTTTGAAAGCGGCTGTCACAGAACCATGTGCCATGATGTCTTTCATTATGGCCTTTTCGTCTTTGGGCAGTGCATATGCTAGGTTACCTGAAATGATTGAACAGATTCCGAAAATATAAAATATGTATAATTTAAATCGATGGATCGGGTATTCAGATACTCGTCAAAAATACCCTTGATGAGAAAAAGCGCCAACATAAAACCGTGCTGCCGCCAAAGTTGTACAGAATGCACAGTGTGATCCAGAAGTCCATTAGCATTAATCATTGTCTATTGTCACTTAGTTCTCGCACACAAGAGTACGTATTGGCAGTATTCAATGATTGACGCTTTTTTTTCACTTGATATTGATATTTTCTTTTTTTTTAAAAAAAAACACAATGTTCTTACCTATTTTAACTAATCCGTCGAAAAACTTGCCTGTTTTTAGAACCTTCACTTTTCTCTCTCTCTCTTTTGTCTCAAAATGTCTGCCTTTTCTGTGTTTCTTAAAATGAAATTTCAATTATAATAATATTCATCCATAGCAGTCCTGAGAGATGCTCGATAGTTTCCCTCTTTTCCAAAATGTTTGCTCTGACAGATTTTTTTCGAAGAAAAGTTAACTCCCCAATAAAAATCAAACGTCATCAATGATTTTCAGATCAGAGGTACCAACTTATCTTCAGTGATCAATGATTCAAAGGCAGTGTTGCTGCATTTTTTCTTCCCGCGAAACCCTCTTATTCCGAAGCATTTTTATGTAAAGGGGCGCAAATGGAACGTATCGCAATCTGGCATTTCCTATACCTCTGAAATTCACCGATAATGTTTTATTTTTACTTGTGTAATACTTCTGTATTAAAGTCGTAGGGGATATTGTTCGAAACTGATTATCGACCAATAATAATACGAAGCTTCGGCAGTGGCGTGGACAGGGGGGGGGAGGGGGTCTGCCCTTTGCACCCTTTTTTTTTTACTTTTGGAAGGCAGACAAAATATTGTCAGGGACGTGAGGGACGTACACAAAATAATGTGAATTTACCGTAACGTTATTGAATGCCCCCCCCCCCTTTGAAGAATTCCGAGCTACGCCACTGAGCTTCGGTCATATCATTGAAGATTCTGCATGCGTTTCTTGATTGAGCACTTAGAGTATGCCATCGGTATAACATAATGCCGAAAGAATCAACACATTGATGTGACGTTAACGAACAACGATCGGAGCTTTTCCTTACCGAAACGGTAGTCCTTGTTCAATTCCTTGGTGTATTGGCCGTTTGTACAACGATGCTGGCAGTCAGGAGTACCCCGAGAAGCCGGACACGGCTGGTATGGGCAATCTTGGCCACTGTACTTGCACGGAGATTGGATGTTGTAAGGTTGGCATCCCTCCGATGTGTTCCAGTTGCCCCCACTCGGCAGACCGTGTTTTTTGATGTAGCTCCACGCCAGATTTTCCCATCTGCAATTTTAAAATTCCTGTTGGTCAGTGTTCATTCTAAAGTAACTATCGTTTATTTCATCAGTTCACGCATCGTAATCAAGAAATTACGGAGGGTTTGTTATAATATTGTAATTAGAAAAGAAACCATCTGAAAAGAGAGATTTTGTCCAAATTAGTTAGACCAAGACTCATTCAAAAGCAAATATGACACATTTGAAGTTCTATCGCAAAGCGTATTTCACATAGTCATTTTTTTATTTTTTAAATAAGCTCACTGTGTTCTCGATCAGCCATTTTACTTTCCAGAACTTCTCATCTATGGGTGTGTCAAATTTTTCCCGTTTGGGAATTTTACTGTTTTCTCAGGCGTTTGATATTTGTAAAGATTAGCCACGATTAGTTTTTGTTCCTGCGAGAGGTACACAGCGTGTAATAATTATAATTTTGTGTGTCAGAATCAGTGGCGAGGCGTTGATGACCGATTTTCGATATTTCCTCATTTGAAGCTGTAAAGAATCGATTATTAAGGTGTTGGTTGCGAACACCCTGTTTATCGATCTTTTTATATAAGTTGTAGTGGCAGATCGCAGATCAATCGATACATCGCAAGGCACGCCACGCCAGTGAAAAATACAGTGAAGCAAATTACCCGCCACTGCAGCCAAACCCACACTCGCTGCAACAGGATAGCATGTTGGCGGTCGATAAACGCATCTGGTGTTTTCCTTTTGTTTTGATGCAGTATCTGTCCGTGAAGGCTTGCGTCGTAGCGATAGCCTGCAATTAAAATATTTTGTTTCAGCTTTTATTTTTAATTCAACTAGGTTCAGTCAAAAACCACGCCACATCTGCTAGTAATCGGAAAGAATAGGTTTGGAGTGTTCCATTTCTGTATGTGCGAATCAATTTTAAAGAACAAGTTTAACTCCTAGCTGTCTTCTCACTCAAAATATTTTCTCTGGATTTTCAGTTTTTGACAGATGGTGGCGGATCCAGAGCGAGTTGGATTC